GGTTAAGACATTTGCACTAGTAAGCAGGAGGTCGTGGGTTCGAGTCCCACCCGAGTAAGCTTGTGAGGTTTTTTTCACAAGCTCTTGGACAAGCACTGAGCATACAGTGCTTATTAATATACGTTGGGTAAGGGAAAACCTGTTATAAATAATTAACACAGAACATCCTTCATTGCTTACTGTGTCAATGGGCTGTTAGTGGAACACGGATCCATTATTTTACTTGCTTGCATTTGTTATGCTGCAACTGTTATGTGCTCAAAACCATCTCATGGAATGACTGTAACCATGGCACCTGCAAGCTCTACTCTTAAAAGGTCCAACTTGCCATGGATTTGTTTTGCCGCTGCTGGCCTGGCTCAACATGTTGTTGCTGCTGCTTGGACAGGTGCTGTTGCTGATCATTGCGCTGACTTTCCCGTTGCTGTTTCTCTTGATGGTCTTGTTTGCCTTGCGGCTCTGGCGTTTTGTGTTCTTCCTGCCGTTCACCGCCTTGTTGGTGTGCCTCTCCTCGCTGCTGCTTCTGCTGTTCTTGATGCTGGCTAGTATTGCGTTGTTCCTGCTGCTGAAGCTCTCCCTGCTGCTTGTGGTCATCATGGTGGCGCTCTTTTTTTTCACTTTCTCGTTTTATTTCATCTTGATGCTGGTTAACATTTTGAAGAGCCTGTTGCTTGTTATCTTGTTGCTGTTGTTTCTCCTCTTGCTGCTGCAAGTTAATGTCGTGCTGTTCTTGCTTCTGTTTCTCCTCTTGCTGCTGCGAGTTAATGTCATGCTGTTCTTGCTTCCGTTTCTCATCTTGCTGCTGGTTAACATTTTGAAGAGCCTGTTGCTTATTATCTTGTTGCTGTTGTTTCTCCTCTTTCTGACGTTGTCCTTCCGTCCTCTTCTGGTCAATATTGTGTTGTCCCTGCTGCAGACTCTGATCATGCCGTTGCTGTCCTCTATGCTCCTGTTGGCCAGTTTTCTGCTGTGCGTGCCGCTCCTGTCCTTCCTGCAGTTTTTCTTTGTCTAAATGCTCCTGCCTTTCCTGCTGCCGCCCTTCATGTTTCTGCTGCTCTCCAGAATGCTGTCTTAGTGGTGGCGAGGTTCTTTGCTGGTGATGCAGACCCTGCTGCCGTGTCTCCTCCTTCCACTGGTCCCTCTGCTCCCCTCCTCTTTGCCCTTTTACCTGCTGGGGTTGTTCTCGAGACCTTTCCTTATTCTGTAGAGATGTTTGATTTCTGATTCCTCCTAGCCCAACAACCTACAAATCAACGATCAGTGATTGAATTCTTAAGCCTACAATTTGGCTCATGTATTTAAAAAAAAGCCATAGGATTCTGGCTAGAGTTTGGCAGAAACCCACTTGAAAAGATGTCTACTTCTCAGAAAATTTTTTTTCATTTATGATTTTTTCCAACTGCACAAAAGTGTAACATTCCAAATTAGACTCTGACCACGTGACCATTTCAAAGTTAGTTTGCTTCAAAAATGAGTGCGGCAGCTTGCGATGCCTTTAACTTTTATTTACAAGAATTTTTCGAAAAGAAATGATAATTGGAAATCCTGATATAATGGAAAGTGCATAATGGGTCTCTCTCAGTTGACGTCAAATCCTGCAGATTGCCATGGCATGGGCACTCTTGACGTCAAATTGTTGTGATGCGTATCGGCTCCACAGTATTTTGAAGATACTTGATCAACTCACGTGTGTGTGTACTTGTATAACATTTGCACACTGCGTGCACATGTACCTGATGGTGTGGAATATACAGTTGTAAGTTTTCTACGAAGATGGCGTCCCAAGAGAAAGATCTATAACTGTCAGCTGAACTGACAACGGCTGAACAACTTGGGAACCTGTAGAGGCACTTGGGGGTTTATGCACAGACACTGGATACAATTACACATAAAGTGATACTCTGACTTTAAGGAAAGTTGAATGCAGAGACAGAGAAAGCGGAGCAAGCATCGTCAGAACGTTTCATGAACTTGCCAACAACTGCACTGGTCGCAGAGGTCCAGGGAGCAGGAGCTGTTAATAGCTGGCTCTTTGTGACAATGCTGACAAGCATGGTACATGTACGTCAGTTGGGGCACATTTGCTAGAAGCTGACGAAAGCTAGGTCATGATGTGTGCTGCTCCACAAGGTCAACAGTTGGCATCATCTATGGCCATGGACATTTGTACAATGCGACTGTGATGAACACGATGGCGTTTTCTCTAGTTGTGTCTAGTCATTCACAGAGTTGTTTTCATTAGTTGACAAAAAAGCAAGGCTGTGATACCTCCCTTTGCATCCAACCAACGAAGTCACCAGTTAATGTTGTCCAAAGTGGCATAGGCTTTCGGAATAGTACGGTACACCACAACAATCAAAAAACAATGCTATGTGTTCTCTTTTGTATCTAGTCAGCTGCCAAGCCAATGCAGTCTTCAGTGCAGAGACAGTGAGATGAGGCAAGTGGATTGCTCTTGGCACTGCTCTGGCATGGCGGGTGGCTCTGAATGCAAGCTGTGGTACGTGAATTTGCTCACAGGGTAATTGTGGAAAAAAAAACTTTAAAGAAATGCTGAATAAAACAAGTGGTACCAGTGTGTGACAGGTACCCCCTGCGGTGATGGATAATAGCCATTTGTGAGTTAAATTGGAATAAAATCTGGTACATTGAGTTATCTGACTGCACATAAACATAATGATTTGAATTCCCCGGACTAACACTGTTGCTATACCTCGTGATTCGGGGCAACCTTTCAAATAGCGACCACCATCTCTGGAATGGATTGGTTCCATTATGTCCTTTTTATCCATTAAAAACAGTTTCATGATAGAAGGCGTCTGTTATGTAACAAAGCACAAGTTTGCTCTGAATCACGGGCGAGGTATAGCAACAGTGGTTTTAGTACTGAGAATTCAAGTTGTTATTTTCATGTGAATTTAAATAACTCAGTATACCAGATTTGAGTCAAAGTTAACTCGCAAAAGGCTTATTGCACCTTTTGCATTTGCTACGACGATTCAACCATGGCGTGATAGGTGTATAAAATGAGATGGGTGAATTTTGCAACTTGTGGCTTTTTCATGATTTTTTTTCAATGAATGATGAGATTGCATAATGTGCCATGCACGAAGAAATGCTTTCATGGGAACTTGCCACAGGGGATGCATTAAAGGGTTGATCTTGATGGACGTGCTCTTGCTGTCCTTGCTGTTCTTGCTGTAGTTGGCTGTGCTGAGATGCAAGTTGCTGATGTTGACTAGCCGTCTGCTGCTGCTGCTGCAGCTGTTGATCTAAGCTCAATGGCGGCTGCTGTGATTGCTGATCTGCCACCTGCTGCTCATGCTGTTGATCCTGCTCAAGTTGCTGTGGTGGACTCTGTGAGTATCCCTGTTGCTGTTGCTGATCGGCTGTCTGCTGCTGTTCTTGGGACTCTTGCTGGTCGCCATGATGCTCTTGCACCAGCTGGTGCAGCTGCTGTTGTCTGTCTTTGAACGCTTGAAGGCGCTGCTGATGGCGTTGCTGTAAATCTAGGTTCATACTTACTTGTTGCTGTTCCTACAAACAGGTGCAGCAGTATCATTTTAAAATTGAAAAGTTAGGTTAGGGGTACGTATGTCATTAAAGCGGACTACTTGAGCAGGAGAAATAGACATGTTTTTCAGCAGACAAAGTTGTCATCTTGGGCCATGAATGTGTAAGTTTACCTTACAAATAACACAAACTACATGTACATTTCTGCCAGTACTCCAAAGATTTTTCTCTTTTTATTTTGTCAAATTTCTGTAATCCTTCACCAGAACAGAAACACAATTACACAAATTAGTTCTATGACTGCTTGTCAACTTGTAATTGTTAATTGTGTGTAATTCTGGAAATTCAGAGGAGAGGGGCCGTGGGGATGTTTGTGGAATATTGGGGGAGTAAACACGAGAATGACGGGCCACTTTTACGGCACACTCACATGTCCCTGGCCAGTGCCAGGCTGTTGCAGCTGTTGTGCCTGTTGCTGGTCATATTGCTGTTGTTGTTGCTGATACAACTGTTGTTGCTGCTGTTCTGTCAACTGTTGCTGCGGCTGCTGCTGGTTGGCATCTACCACCTGCTGCTGTTGCTGCTGTTCTGTCAACTGTTGCTGCAGCTGCTGCTGGTTGGCATCTACCACCTGCTGCTGTTGCTGCTGTTCGGTCAACTGTTGCTGTGGCTGCTGCTGGTTGACATCTACCACCTGCTGCTGTTGCTGCTGTTGCTGCTGTTCGGTCAACTGTTGCTGTGGCTGCTGCTGGTTGACATCCAACACCTGCTGCTGTTGCTGCTGCATGGTCATCTGTAGCTGTTGCTGCAGGTTTTGGACATTGTTCTGGCACTGCTGCATGGCCTCTTTGCATTTCTGGAGTTCGATCTGCCTCATTTGGGCCTGCAACACACAGACGACCCACCAGATCAACGGTTTAATTAGCAAGACAAGTTCTTCACATGAACATGTAGGTCCAGTCACAAGAAATGGCTTACACTAGGCCATGGCATCCCTCCCATTCATTTACAGTAGGATAAGACCAGACATACAGTGTATACATGCACTGTGCATGGTTGATAAAAATCATATTTTGTTTGAAATTTAATGCTCAGATTTTTATTGAAATCAGATTTTTAAATTTCAAATTGATTTTGTTATACTGTTTTAATTATTGTACCATTTTCTTTAAACACTGCTTTTAAATGTGAACTGAATGTGAAGTGAACTGAAACAACTGTTTTAAAATTTCTCTGGCATCATCAGTGTAGCTGTTGTGTTTATTGGGAAGGCAATGATCACACTGAGTGCAAGCAGCCAAGCCTTACAAGAGTCAGTTGGGATGGATTGTCAAGACTCACAACCAGTAGAAAATCTAATTCATGGCAGTTGTTTATGTTCCAAAGGGAAGGTGTATGATGCAAGAGGGTGTGAAAAGTGTATTGTACTGTACATCAGTATAGGAGTTGTTTCATTGCTTCAGAATACTGCAGGACATGCACTCTACACAAGATAAGTATGGTACATTGTTTAAGGAATCTCGTCTCATACCTTGTGTACATCCCTTAAGAGTGAGTAGTTGCAAAGTAAAGTTAATAAGCATGCAGGTCTGAATTACAGACTTTGTTTCTAGATTAAAAAGGGACAGAAATAAAAACAAATTATAACTGGATTTTGGATTTTAATCAAATATGAAATCAACCAACCCATGCACTGAGCCCACTAGCTCAAAGATTGTCTTTTACCTTGTTTCACTGGACTTGAGTGGATACCTGACAAAACCAGAAGCAACATACTTACCTCTTTCTACTTTAACTACAAGCCCACTGTGATTGTGGAAAAAACTGTCCGCAACATGATTCCCAAGTTATTATTTGAATATAAAAGCAAGGCATTTTAGTGAACATCTCTATCTGCAATTGTTTAATAAAGAGAACCTTCCTGTTCAGGGAAGTGTTGCCAGAAACTGCGAAGGTTCTGGGAAACAAGACTTCTGTATCTAGGTACCAATCACGACTACAGAGAACACCTTCACTGACCTCTCCTTTCATGGAATTCACCAAGTTGTTCATGGCCTCCTTTTCTTCCTGACACCTCCGGTAGTTACTTTCCATAACACCTTGCTGGGAGCGAAGACCATTCATCTCTTCTTGCCGATTGGCCGTAATGATATCATCTTCTTCGACTAACTTGTCATACTTTTCTGCCATCAAACAAACCATCAACAAAATCAAAACTGAGGGGGGAAAATGGGCCAATTCCCCATCATCCTGGTTCTTGTTTTATTTCACCGAGGGGTAGGCAGGAAAACAACAGCTTATGTGTAAATGGACCATATCAAGGAACAAATCAAAATTACTACATACAACAGGAAATTTGGCTGGCATGGACCCCTGAATTCTGGAACTTTGGAACAAATTATTTGGAATTAATTTGGAAACAAATTTCAAAGTGATCCATTTTTTAGGATTATAAATCCCTGTGGTATTTCAAAAGAGGTCATAGCCAAAAACATTTGTGATGGAAGTACCAATCAAAATTTTCTGGGTGTATCTTAAAATTAGGGATGGACTTTTGAAGACAAGGAGGGATTTTTTGTAGAAATCATGTGATTTAAATAAAAAATGCCTCACCTGTGCATATTTGTAATAGTCGTGCTGTGGAAGATAAATTGCCTTGTTTTATTGCCTGCACAGAAAAATGATAAAGTAAAGTTGTTCATAGGTAAACGCAGTGGTCGTAAAAAAAAGGCATCATCAAAGGGTTGTTTCTTCACAGGTAACGCTTAAAAAAAATGAATCATTCCTATGAAATCCTAACCCTCCAGCATGTCCAAGATCCTTGGAAGTGAACCTTGCAGTTTCAGTGGAACGTGCAGATGCACTCGTTACTGAGTGGTCTACTGCTGGGACTGCTTTTGTATTGCAATCTAGGCCTGGTGCACTGGGACAATACATGCATTGTACTGGTACCCAGTTCGTCCTGACACTGGTCCAGTCCATTTACTCAACTCCCCCGAAGAATCTTGAGAGAAACTTTGTTCTGCACATGCGCTGCTGGGGTTTGGCACTGATTCATTCCCTCGTCAAGCCCCGCGCATGTGCATATAAGAGTACTCCTGAGCATGTGAATAATACATGTATGTGGGCGCATAGTGCCATGCGTATCCACGTTCAACCTATTAACCTTTGTTTTTTAGTGCTCGCCACAGCCTCTTCTGGACATTCTTTTCTGCCTGTTGCATTAAGCTGGACACATGCCACATTATACAAACATTTATGCAGGGAGAAATGATAAATAACAGTCAGAATCTGGAAGGACAACTACAGGGTTAAGGCTCTGCCACCAACCACTCACAAATTTGTCCTCCAGGTCGGTCTTGTGCTCTTGGCAGACGTTGAGGTTGTTGGTCAGGTCCTCATTCTCGGTGCGTTTCCTCTCCAGCTCCTGTACGCATTCCTGCCTCTGCATGTCCGTGGACTCCTTCTCCTGCTTGAAGCTGGTGATGACCCGGTTGGATTCGGTGATCTGCATTTGTAAGGCCTCACTGCGCTTCTCAAGATGGATCTGTGATCACACACCCAAGAAAGAGTTGACATGCAAGAAGTACATTAGATTCACAGTGGACTTTGTTAGACAAAGTCCAATGGACCTGGCCAAAATGTTTGTTGTAACATAGGGTACTAATTTTCCCATTTTTCCTGCACGCACTTGTAAGTTATGCATGTGCTAGTATGTAGATATATGTGCATACATGTCAAGTTCAGCTTTTAAAATACAATACATAGGAGAAACTTGTAGTAACTACATGTAAAACTTAGACCCATTACTACGGTATAATGGAAACAGAAACTATCCTAAAAAATGTCAGCAGGTTTAGACAATGGGGCGGTGCGGACATCTGGGACTCTTGCAAAATGGCGGATAGTAACCGATGAAAATAGCAACCATGGCGATGTAATTAAGCCTGCACCAGCCAGTCAAAGGATCAGATGACACAATCGTTTCTTTGATCAGAACGTATGCGCGTGCTCGTTGCAGTTGTTTTAATCGGCGTGGTGTGGTTCCTACATGCCATTTTGTAAAATTCCTGGATGTCCGCGCTGCCCCACAGACCTTATTTATGGAGAAGCCATGTTTTATCTTGTTACTTGAATCTACCATATATTCAATGTCATCTGGTAAGTGGGATGGTGCCAGACAACGTGTATGTTGAGTTTCAAACCTCACTTTTTTTTTTAAAATATGGTTTAAAACATTTAGGCAATTAATTTATCACATTTAAATAATTCTAAACAACGGGCATGCATTTTTACGAACTCTTATTTTGTAGCTGTAATTTTTACTCTCAGGTTCCCAAAAGTTTTACCTCACTTTCAATTCAATTCAACATGCATACATTCAACTGAATGCATTTTCTCTATTGTCACTATTTTTGTGGTATTTATGTGAGCTGCTGACCTGTAATGTACATGTTGCTCTATAGTGTTACTCATGGAACTCATTACATAAAATTTCAGACATTATCTGCAGTGCTGAATGAAAAAAAATTCAGTAAAATTCTCCAAAACAATTTTTGAGAAGTTTTACTGAAATTCTAAGGTCCTATTGACATCCAAAATGGAACCCTAATCCCGAGATGCGCTGTTTTGATGACTCCGCTCAGCAAAGAATTTCCAAAAGCTTGCTGTTTCAATTGCCAACCAAGCATCCACAGCACTTTGTCAACAGGGCTGATCCAAGCTGTAATACCCCTTTTCAGATTTGTTTGCACAGGCTAGGTGTCAATGCTGCAATATTTGCTGATAGCACACAGTTAGCATTATATCTGGCATTTGGGATTAACATACATGTATATGTACAGTGTGTACACAACTAAGAATGATTTCTCAGGTATAACTTTTGGACGAAATACAGTTGGGTCTGCGCATCTATTCAGGCGACACTGTGATGCAATTCTTTGGCATTTTAACGGGTTTAAACTGAATTTGTTGCTTTCATAGCATCACATAGATATTCAAGGAGGTTTTTATTAATGTTTCACCATCTAGCCGGTCGTCTTTATGCATGTGGGAATCGCCATCATTAGTTTACAAACATTATTTACCTTATCATTAGTTGTAAATGATATGAAGTCATGTGCACTATATGAATGGTTACACGTACAGTCCGGGTGATAGTAGGCAGGTATTTAATAAAACAAGGAACAAGCATGTACAATATGCATTCTTCAAACAGAATAAAACCTCATTAGAAGAAATCTTTTGGAATTTTTCTAAAATGTCACTGCATTTTGGAGTTTAGGGTGATTGTGTTTCACAACATGATGGAAATTTTGAGCCACAGGGTCATAAGTAGGCATATGGCCAGAGTCTGTAGCTTCGGATCACAGGGTCCGAGGTTCGAATCCAGCTGGTGGCATCATATTGGGATCTTGGGTAAGTTATTTTAACCCTATGTGCCTCTCTCCACCCAGGAGTAACTGGGGACCTGTGAGGGCAGATACTGTTATGTTAAGCCATTTGCATCTGATGTGGCAGCCTCTGGCTAGTATACTCCCCAGGAAGATGAGATGATTTCAGGAATGTTTCTGGTGTTGTGAGCCCTACAGTACATGTATGTGTATGTGCAGGGATATTGAAACTAAATGAGTGCCACGAGTCCCTGGTATCAGGTGGATTTGTGCATTCAAAATGAATATTCCTTCATCTATATCACAAGGTGTAAGACTTTCTTGATATTTAGTTGAAGCTTAAATTTACATACAATAAAGCTGTATGACAAAATTAGGATCTGCGTAATTAATTCACCAATTAGGTGTGAATTCTTTGAATTTGTCACGTAGACAGGGCAAATTTTGATCGAAAATGAATACCTGAATGAAATTTCAAATGTGTCTTCAAAATCTGACTATTAAAAGTATTTAACTCACAAATTTGCATAAGTAATTAGCTAATTTTATGAAAATAGAAAACTGTTAATGCTAGTCATTTATTAAAAGCATGTGGTCAAAAACAATTTGTTTATTACATGCGAAACACCTCAACTTAATATAATTGTTAAAACTGCAAACACATATTTTAAAATAATTATCAAATATGCAGATTTAATAAGCAAATGTGCAAAAACTGTGAGGAATACATTGATTTCAATGAAGGCGAAAGAACAGTTGTAATTAATGAAATGTTTGTTTGAAGAAAAAAAATCGGAAAAATGTATTTGGAGTACCAAAAATCCATACATAGTTCAACGTGATGACCTTCAGATGCATTACATTTCACAAAAAAATGATCAAAGTGAATAAAAACGCACATGGCAAAACCCTTTGTTCCATTCTTGCCCTCCCCCCTTGTCTAACCGGTTGTTAGCACTGATGCCAGGTGCACTGAAACATCTATTTTTGCATGATTAAAATAAAAAAGGCACACTGAAACATGACCCACACTCCAACCAAATGCCATGCATTATTTAGGGTATGAGGGAACCTTCTTCCGTAACAAAATCTGGTGAAAAGCATGAATGTTGGCGTTAAAATAAGTTGCAAATCAGCATTTGATCAGTCATGTCATTTGGCCTGACAACATGTGCACGCACACCGGATTCGATGTTCAGATCCCATATACTACCCTTCATAAAATGGGATTTCCTTAAAATCCCATTGTTCAATAGACATTTATAATTTTTATTCTAAATCTGTAATAATAATAATGAAGGTATTGATCCAATTTGAAGCGCTAAAGCCGAAGAATGCTGGAGGTCTTCTTCTCTCCAAATGATGATGTACATGTATTGTAAAGGATTGGGCCAACAGGAATCTGGCAAATTTTGACCCAAAAAGACTGATTTAAAAAAGCCGAGTTTGCAAATTGGCCAAAAGTGTGTGCCAAGAACTGTGTGTTGATTGACTGGAAGCAACGCATGCCATAGGAACTGTACAACGCTGTGTACGCTGTGCATGTGCTGTGAGCACATACATGTATTTCGGCAACGGAAGTGTTTGAGTGGGTGAAGTGCCTACTGTTAGTCCTCGATGACTTTGGAAGTTCTGAACCCAATTTGTACCCATAAAACTGTTTTTAAATTTTTTTTTCAAAATCAGGGTGCCAACATATGCTCCATAAAAGTATGTTTTACAAACAGCAGATCCAAAGGGGGCAGATCCAGCACATTTTCAATTTATGTACATGTCTGTGCTCTCCTGAGGTTCTCAGTAGACCGTTGTCCCTCTCCCCCCCTGGCTCTGTAGGAAATATCACATGTAAATAAAGTATGAGGTCATCTGTAAATAAATGTACATGTAGGCCTATTATAAATACATACATTGTACTCATACATACACGTACATGTATAAGGACATGCACAGTATACATGTACGTGTACATTGTACCATCTCCCTTTTTCTCTCGTGTATTTTAACCAGTTACACGTATTTCAGGTTTTCCTGTGTGTTGTCCAATTGGCCTGTTGAACATGTACATTTAGGCAACCTTAACATGACACACTGCTTGCTGAAACGGCTCATGATGAGTCAGTTCCATAAATGACTGTTATTTACTTCTTAGGCCTCAAAATAATGGTTCCCCCTTCGATTCCTACATGTACATGTAATTGCACTAGGGCATGGATGTGACAGAACGACATGATAGAAACACTGAATGTTTCATTAAAATTTATGTATTCAATGTGGACAGGGTTGCATCATGCATGTACAGGTACCTACAATGTATGGTAATTGCCTAACCTGACATCTATTGAAAAAACATACATGTACAGCACATGTATCGATGTGCGCCTATCTGGCAATGGATTAATGCTTGATCCAAACAGGTACTGCTCTTGCCTTGTTTAATGTTTTTCAAGACAGCCAAGCACTGGTCACCCAAATAGGGTTAATTGTGAGTTCCACAACTGGGGTGGAGGGAGGGTGAATTAGTGAACAGAGCATTCGATGGCAGTGCTGGGACCAAAATTTGGAAAGAAATCCATATCAAATCATCACAATTTTCTAGTGCTGTAGCGTGTTAACCTAAATTCTAAAACTTATTTCCTAGAAGTACTATTACATTTCCCTTTGTTAAGCAGTGTTATGATGCACTGTATATATACACTTGCTCTAACTACTTGCAGACCTCCAAAGCGCTATGTTCCCATTGGAGTTTTTTTTTGGTTCTGTTACCGTAACTTTCCTGAAGAATTACAAAATTAAATGGGAACACATGGTAGACTAACATCCTCGTCAACTTACTGCGATTGTGATGTAAAACTAACAGGCCAAAAAGGGTTGCTGAAGATTTCCACGCAGCCATGGTACATGTAAATTAGCAGGGGCGCAAAACAGTCAAATGGGAACAGTTCCTGTACAAAGCAGATTGACCACGACCAAGCTAAACCTGCGAACCAGACTACTGGTGCACAGAGATTGATAGCGGGCACGCAAAAATGGCTGTATGGTTCCCAGTCTCCAGCTCCGTGCATACTGTACAGCAGCATGCCACCTACACACACAGTGAGGTGTGCCCGGATAAAGCTATACATGCACATTGTGTACAGGGCTTTTCATGTACCGGTTCATCTTATTTGTGGGAGATTTGGCCGAATTCATCTGATTTCGTCATGATTTGTACAGTGCATGCAGACAATGTAATCAGCCAGTTTTATGAGGCCTAACACAGCAAATAAACATTCTGTCACGGTAAAAAAAGTCCAGGTGGGAATGCACGGTAGATTGGCACAAAGGAATGTTGTGGTAAGTTTCCGCATGCCCGTAGAAGAAAAAGTCAGATAGAAACACGCTTCAAGTCACTACTGTGTGTGACTTGGAGCCCTTTGACATTTTATGGGTTTGTAACGCTAGAAGTTTTTTTAATGCAGCCCATACATTTAAGTCAAATTGGGGTTCTGTACATTTTCCTTTGAAAAAATCCACTTTGTCAATCAAATCTTTCCTCAAAAGTCATCAAAACAGATGCACTGACTCCAATGACCCATGGGTTAAGGACTGTGTGACTGACTATTTTTGGAAAAAAATCAGAGCTTTTACTAACCAATGTCTCATTCTCCTGACGAAAAAACACATCACACATTCCGCAGGTGGTGTGAAGTAAGTTACGTATTCCTCATTTGACATTCGACATTCACTGACGAACAAGTACCAGTGCTTCAACATTGAATAAGTACCAGGTTTACATTCAGCAATCACTCAGGACGCACATCCTCAGAAACCATGGGTTGTAAATGGGACAAAAAAACAAACTGCGCGCCACCTACATTTGAGGGCTTGTTTGACCCCTAAAAAACCCATGCCCTGGGTTACAAGGAGTGGTTGGTGATTGAGAACTATGACATCAGCTTCAATGTAATCTGGAGATGGGGCACGGGGTTTGGTTATTCTTTTTTGATTTGAGAAAAGTTTGGTGTGATGTATTCACTTTCCTACTCTGGTTTGAAAGTGAAGAACTCCACCAACAAAACTTCAGTCAAAGCCGTTTTGACCATGAAAAACTGCGTTCCCCTGGTTGAAATGGAGGCAGCAGGGTCGCAGAGAACAGTCCCAACTGTAGTGCTGCAGTTGGGCTGGCCCAACTATTGTTGACCAATGCCTGTGGGAATTGTCTCAACATTATCCAAGTCAATGTGTCTCACACTTGACACAATTCATCTAAAATGTGGCACTTCATCTCTTCATCTAGCCCTATGACCAATGACATGGCATTTGTAAACATCATGCAAACAGGACTTCTCTGCTGTAGTTGGGCGGGCCCAACTGTAGCACTCTAGTTGGGACGGACCCAACTATAGTTGGGACTGATGGTAGTTGGGGCATAATAGCACTAGTAGTATTTTACTGACATGACTGAATGAATTTGAAGTTTATAAACAAAGAAGTTTGGCAATAACGCACGAGGAAAGTCGAGGACAAGTGCGCCATGTTAAGGAACTTAACGTACGCGGTACACACAACACAGGCATGACATGCATGACATGGCTAACGCCGTAACTACGGGCACTACCATTGCTAAACCTTTACAAATCCCCATTCAAAATATGCACGAACAATCTTCGGCTTACTTTCGACATTGCCAGCTCCTCTAGAGTAGACGTCATCTCTTGCACCTGCTTCTGGAGAAGTTTACTTCTCGAGGAAACATTCCAGTAATTGAATGCTAGCACACATATGACGATAAGGAGCCCAAAAGTGAGAAACTGGGGAGTTTTTCCTCTCGACATCCCGTTCGGTGCCATCTTACTCTTACGCTGCATGTTTGCCAACAAGATTGTTGAGCAAAAGCTGGTTACCGGCGCGATACAGAAAAATCGACTAAGAGAGACATGAGTACCAGTTAAAGGCAGTTCACGTTAGCAGGTGCATGGTCATAGTATTGTGGTTGGAGTGACAGGTGGATGTACCGGCGACTATGGGGGAGGGGGAGGGACATGGCTTGCGCCCCATCACAAACTATGTGAATCGATCATAATGCCATCTGCAACGTTTTAGCATCGAGAAAACAGTTTTCCTTTTGATAATACTCCGATGTGATGCACCGAGGATTTGTCGTTGGGAGGAAGACTCGGACCGGATTTAACCCCCCCCCACCATGGAGGTAGGAAACACGCTCCCGGCCCCTCAATCACCCTTGGGACCACCACTATACTCCAATAAAGGGATTAATGTCCGTCCTATGTGACTAAGCCTATGTATGAGAGAAAACAGTAATCTGTAAATATCAAATACAAACACACCCAATACTACTAACGATTATGATTTCGTCTCTCGCACGATAACTGTGTATAGTACTTCTTTTTCCACAATCGACTTTACTCATTTCTCCTTCCTTGCTTTCCCTTCTTGAATGTTATGTTGACTTAAATCTACGTCCTTAATACCCCCCCCCCAAAAACACCCTCACCAAAAGAACATTAATTAATAAAAAAGTTAAACTAACGATGCCGTGATAATTTTAAGACGACATTCTGCAACGCATGTAAAGGTTAGTGCATCAGTAACAGTATGGTGCAGTACACTATCTGTGTATCCACCTGTCGGTAACAACTTGACATAAAGAATCTGACAGGCCTACCCCCCACACACAAACCCATACATGGAAATTTCCTGGATGCCCCTGCACCAAACCTGATTCAATCCAATTCAAATTCAATTTATTCAACATTTATTTAAATACTTTCACAACTAGATCAAATTCAAAATCCCAATGAAAAAAAGTAGATAAACACAACAAGAACAGTGCATGTCTGAAACTATATAAACAAGCTGTGACGCTAAAAGAGGATAAATGTACATGTATAGTGCTCTTCGTATAAGCCGAGGCTTGTAATGATCAGCCTGCACTGTGCGTATGTGTACACGCGCCTATATGCTTTACAGTTCAGACAGGTTTGTTCTCAGCAAAAAAACCCAAGCTTTTCGTATCATGCTAACCACACAGCTGGGGATTTCAACAGCTGTCTCTACCATATGCATTAAAAAAATTTTTTCTTCTGGCGCCACAAAACATATCGATCTTTTTAACGTCCATGCGAACTGTTGCTATGGCTCCACAGCTGACTGAGAATTCATGACCTGCAATATTTTGTTGCGTTCATGCATGTTTCCCGTGAGCATATAATGATAAAGAATATCACGAATTCTTGTGGTTAGGTCGTAGTTTTACTTACAAGAGTAAAGTATGTCTTTGAATTGAAAAAGGATAGGGCTTGACAGAAATTCACAGAACATATCTCTCCCTGAATTATGATTTAAGAAAAGGATCTTGAATTGTGATGCTACATTTCAATAGACGTATTCGAGGCGTTCCCAATTTCAGTCGTATTCCTGAACTTACAGTATAAATTTGAAACTCTTAATGGGATGGTACCAGGTGATTTGGGGGGTTGGAATGAAATCGTAGAATATAGACTGGTTCTTTGAATTTAACGTTTCCAAATAAATACACTACGTTTGGGAATATGACTGAAAATGGGTCTCCATGAATTGGGCCTTGGCCATTTTCCAATACTCAACTTCGACTCCGTCTCAGGTTTCAACAGGTTTTTTTACAACCTGCCTTTGAAGCTGTAAGCGCAGTAATTAGTCTAATAGTGCCACAAAACATCAAATAAGATGTAACAGAGCAAAAACTTACAGTAATCCAATTTGATTTAAACGCTTCAGGCCCAGAATCGGGAATTGGTTTCGGGGACGAAACCTGAGCGGAGATGAAGTTGAGTATTGGAAAACGGCCCCATTCACTCATGAGCAGCGTCGGGGTGTTGGAGCGCCCCCGCATGACATAATAGCAACTCGGCTTTGTTTGTTATTGGCCTTTCGTGCTTAACTTAAAATGAAAACGAAAAACAACATTTCAGTATTTGGGTGAGTATAGCATGAAGTTCATAGTTTCTGTGGCGACTGAGGACTTTTTATTTGAGCAAGCATCTTGAGTGGCAGGGGGACTAGAATGAGGAGAACCACAGACAGAACGAAGCCGCGTATTGGAAAATACTTCACGGTCTCGCTTTTCCCTAATGTTAATTAATGTTGTACCCTTTTCTTTCAAGTTAAAGTGCTGTTAACAGGTGATGCAATGTAATCTTTTAAATGCTTTAAATGTGTACCACGGTGTCCGATTCAAAAGTGTGATGTTATTCCTGTGACAAATCTGGAGGTTGCAGCTTTTTCAGTACCAAAATTTGCTAGAACTCGGGATATTTTACTATCGTGATTTTTATGAGACGAATCAGTGGTCAACAAGATGGTCGCTCGACCCAGCTTGGCCCTGGTTGTAGACTGTCGGAGAAAGATCAACAACCTGACTCGTTCAACAGCGGCGTGTAACATTTCCCCCGTAAGCTATTGGAATAGCCAATCAATATACTTTGGAACAATTATGCTGTTGAAAGGAGAGCTGTTCGTCTAAGAGTAAAACTTGCACATTAACGCTTGGGTGCTGTGTTGATTTGTTCTTGAGAAATATGAGAATTTGGCAGGTGACTGATTTCCTCAAATTAGACTATGAAAACAGATCCACCATTACGAAAAGGAGGGTGTCGGTATAGTACACGTCGTGTGACTTCGGCCACTCCCACAGCTACACGTGTCATTAAATTAGTGGTGGAAGCAACCCTGACTTGGTCTTTGTCCTACAACCAAACAGTGACAAGGTTTTCTCAAAAACCATGCTGACAAACTCCCTCTTTGCATGAAACATACACAAGTATGACACAGGGGGAAGTGGGATCTTTGTTTCTTTCATTTGCTTAATTATACTGTAAATAATTATCCAATGACAAAAGCGTACATATCACATGCATCGATTAATTGAAGGATTTGGACAAAAGGCCACCGCATCTGGTATGGAACACGCGTAAAGTACGTGGACATTATCATTTGACGTGTGTTTATTATGTTCACAACGGCACCGTGTAGATATTCACAGCATTCAAGCTATTACAACCCGGATTCAAACATCTGTGTCAATTTTAAGTACAAGAAAGGCTTCCATCTAAAATCACGTTTGGTTTGTAGCTGCAGTGTGTAAAAAGTTGTAGCATTTATTTCAAAGGATCGGAGGACCCATTAGTTGCTGCTGCAGAGGTTTGTAACTTGAAGACGCACGCGACACTTCAATGGGTGTTGCCCACACTTAATGTTGGGCATTTGGTTGATCTTTCCGTTGTACAGGTGGCTCCATCTTCCGTTTTTCAAGACCTCCCAGAACACGCGTACAGAGCATTTCGTGTCTGTGACACCTGCAAATTGGCATTGCCAAGTTTTAGTCGACCTTTGATTAAAAACAGTAGATAGCGACATTCTTCACAGGCATGCCTGCTAAGAATGCCTCGTTCGTCATGGCCTCCCTGGCGCTCCTCAGCCTGGGCTTCAACCTCTACAGGCGAGTATTCACTGCCAACGAAATGCTGAGATGCACCAAGGACCTCCAGATGACCCGAAGAAACTCCATAATAGTACGCGAGCGGCTGGTCCGAACGGCAGCCATGCTGACCGAACTGAACCGGACCATAGCGGGGTTGGGAGAGCCCAATGGCCCGGCCGCCGACAGGTCTGCTCTTGGCGGAAAGCTGTGGCCATCAGAAAACGAGGACTTGGTGGTCAGGATCAGCGCGATGAAACGGGAAAACGATAAAGCCAAGGTGTACCTAGTCAAGCTGCAAGAGGACTTAAAGGGGACCGAGAAAGAGGCGAGCTTAGCAATACTTAACGGCGGGAAATTGACTGATGAGATCAATGATTTGAGAGAAGAGTTCAAACGACTTAAGCGACAATTGGCAAGTATAATTAAATTGAAATGTGCTAATGGACTATTTTATTTGAGAATGGAAACACGACGAATGCAGTGGAAGTTCATCTGCACCCAATATTTGTCCACTTCACAGTACTTGCTATTAAAACGATCAATGTAATGCTTCAAGAGCATTCCCCGATTACAGTGTGTCCCAAATGTCCGGGCTTGATGATGTTTATGATTTTATTTTATTTGCATTCTTCTAACCAGAAATCTGACTCGTATCAGTAAACACGAGCGCTCAAAATTGAGTTGGCATCAACTGGTCTGTACTTATCAACTTGTCTCAGTGCATCATTGTCTCCTGCGAAATCAAATTTGCTTGTGTCTATGACAGAATACAGCTTGATTGACCAACCCAAATAACATGAAATTATAAGCATCCTCAAGCCAAGAGTGTCCTCTTTAAAAAGATACACATACCTCCAGCTGACATTTTGTATTTAAAACCAACATTTCAGGGGAGGGGCAAAATGTGAGGAGAACATTATGCAATTTTTAAGGCTTTAATTGATTGTTTTGTTGAATGTTGGTTCTTTCTACACGCTTGGGGAATATGAGAACTGAAACCGGCCCCCAAATCGCTCCTCTTGTATTTACAAAAATAGGCCTTTTTTAGGGATGGATGGTCCCAATTTGTCATCCCCAGATCCGCTGATGGCGGAAAGGGCGCTTTATTGGAAACAAATTCCTTTTGAGCCGACAGCATTGGCTGTCTTTTTCACTTCGCTGGTTTACGTTTAATAAGTGAACACAAACCAGAGTATTGGTATATGAACCCCTAGCTGGATCAAGAGAGGACGCAATTTTCCTAGCAACGGAGGCTCCTTTGGTCGGAACCAGATCGTACAGCACCGCTTGGCGGCGCTATACGATCTTTCGTCGGAACTGCACTTTGCTGGTTTACGAACAACTATGAAATGCACGCGATACGGTTGTGTCGCCACCAACAACATTAACACTCCCGACCAACGTGGGTGCTTCTACCCAAGGCGGATAGAAAGTGTTCCCAAGTCATACAATTCCTGTTCTGATCCACAAAAGGCTACATGAAATTGTACTGGGAAGGGAGGTAATCGTTCGACCCAGCCTCTCTGTTGTTGACTGGTGAGGGACACTTCCAACCCATACTGATATCATTCCTTAATGTATTTCTTTTCCCATTCAACTGCATTTGCAGAAGGCAGCAGTGCGCAAGGACATTTCCTAAGTCATACCGACGACATGCACCCACTACGACGTCATTCAAACATGAAAAGGTCAACAACAGTACTGTTGTCTTGCTCCCCCGTGTTGATGTGGATGGATCTGGGAATGAGTCGTCGCAAAGGCTTCGCACTCTGAAGCAGATGCCCCAAATAAAAGGGACTGCTGTTCTGGACCCACTGTTGGAGCGATGGGACGGGGTTGACGTTAACAACATTTTGGATTGGATCTGACGCCAGCTAAGTGAACGGCTTACCGAGTCATTATTTAAACTATGTACGGATTCATGAACCAATTTTGAAAACATGAATGGGAAAATGTAAAATAGTAACGGACAAAAACCGGGGAAGGCTCAATCTTTAGCTCAGCGGCTCGGTTTGAGTTATGCGAAACATCTTAAACTTTACAGCCGCTGGAAATTTAGAAAACAGAGGCCTATAATATAGGTTCACTACACTTGTCAACTATCCGCAGTGTTCATTTCAGTGTTCAGTGTTCAGATCTGAAATTTCAATTCAAGAAACCTTCGTGTGCTCTCTTTTCCTATTCTCAACTGAAAAGAATGTGGTGTCAAGTTAACACTCTAGATATTTATGACAACACATTACCGGTGTTGTCTGACATGGGTACCGAAGGTGTTTATCTAGGATATAGTATTTTGTGTGTGTGCCAATAGTATTCCTTCGACTTTAGGATGCTCAACGCCCCAATCTGGGGGCGGGGAGATAGCCCATTCCCCCTCGATGATCAACCCTATTCCATTTGATCTAGTTAGAATTTGAAAATCCGAAACTTCAGAACATTTTCCACCTCGTTGAGGAAAGCAGACACGTTTTTGTCAATACAACATAAAATCTGATAGCTCTCTAAGTCAACTAGGGTGCAAGTGGGACTTGCCTGTTAGCTTTGTTTTAACAAATAAGTTTCTTTAAAAATTCACGAACAGGTTTTATCTAATTTTAAACTTGGTCTTTATTATGCAAGTAAAAAATAGACCGTTTTAAATCTCAGAATAAATTCACCATACGAAATTATTTTTGAATGTAATTACGAAGCACGTTAAAATGGTCGTTAAGAAAAAAATCAACATAAATGCGACAGTGTTACATTTCTATACAAACCACATTAAACATTTAACAGTGTACCATGAATACATTAAACATTCATACATGCTGTTGGAGAAATAATCTCTCTTCCATTTCTGTTGTATGGGCTACCACTGCTTATGAAAATGGCAACTTATTTTCAGCATAATGTAAGACTAACCCGTTGTGATCTGGAATACGACCCTTTCCCTCGTTGTCATGATAAAATTATGAAAATCATGTAATCGTTAATTTTTTTGTAGGGTGTTAAAGTTGACTTGACGGCCTTAAAGGTACCATGTGATAGAAATATTTTACTAACTATTAAATCTTTGAAATTGCTCCTTTGTGTTACAGATAACCTTATTTTATGTTTGTTTTGCTATTCTTATCTGTATTTTGCATATTCATGACTAAAACTGTGATGTAATCCGAGGCACTAAACCTCGACGTTGCATTGATTTGTGCACAAAAATTGCTAGAGTTTTTATAATTTTCTATCAAAGCTTTCCACTTCCTTTGGCACGTTCGTTGTTCTGTAAGTATGTGGCAATAGGCCAGAGAGAAACGTTTTCCCTGCAATGTTTTCAAAAAGCAAATTTGGGGTTCGAAATTTGAACATGAAAACATGCAAATTGAACAGTGTCTTCCTAGATTAACATTGTACCGATAGCGCCCTCACTTGTCCAGAAAAGCTTCATCAATTTTGAATTTATAAAAATGTGCATTTTTACAGTTCACTTAACTTCAGAAAGATTCCAAACAGTTTCATGAATTCAAGGAGAGTAAAAGTGATTTTTAAGAAAAATTTATTGCATTGATCCTTTAACTTGGCAGGTAAATTACTTATAATTAGTTTTTCCCCCTTTTAAAGAAGAGCAATTTTAATTAAGGGAATGATTTATCTTGCATAAATCATATCAACAACAAATAAATAAAAAAGATAGGATTTATATTGTGTATGCCATTGACCATCCTTCATTTATTGTTTCCCAGAAACCTGCTGTATAAGACGAGAGGCCCTGAGTATTCACAGGTTTCCAGCCACTGACTTTTTTGCAACGGGAAGATGAACACTCGGACCACACACATTTGAAATGATTTTTTTTGGGGAGATTGGTCACTTGTTGCAAGCTCTGATTTCAAAAATAGCTTGTAATTCCAATGCCTCATGCCCAGTGCTGTAAATCGGCGGATGGGGTGGGGAAATGTGGGGGGGGATGACATGCTTGGCCGTGCAAATTTGAACAGCGGACAATTTGCTGACACTGTATGACACTATATAGAGAGAGGTATTCACGATACAAATGTACATCTGTAAAAAGTATTATATTGGTATTCATTTTCTCTTACTGTTCTCCCTTTTTGAGTGCTGTTGAGGGAAGTCCGATGAATTCTTCACATCCGTCGGCCTTAATTTTTCTTTCTCACCACGAAAGAGTGGGCCATAATTCAATAGCCCATCCTCCACCCAAAAAGTAGAGGGAATATATATCCCTATCCCCGGGATTTAGGCCTTTCTTGGGTCTTTTTCAACAGGGATCATCACCCTGTCAGATTTTGTTTAACAATTTATCCAACCTCAAACCACTAGGAGTAGTTTTTACACCCCGAAAAACAAATCCAAGGTATTTCATGCTATGAGCCTCGAGCTGGAACAAGAGAGGGCGCAATTTTTCTCGCAACCCAGGCTCCTACAGTGGGAACTGCACTTCGCCAGTTTATAAGAAACTATGGAAATAATGTACTTGCACAGTCGCATCTCAACAAAAAATCAGTAGTCCCCACCAACATGGCTCTTTTCAACTGATGAGAGGGTGCTTCTTTTCAACGCAGATTGTCTATAGCTGTAGTTGGTGCGACATGCCTCTGGTCTACATGAAGCGATGCACAAACACAAATCACTCGAAAAGTGGGTTGGCTAAATCATCAATGTCAGTTTGTAATGACCAATTATTAGGTGATAATAATTTATATAATTATTAACAACAAAGTTAACGTAGAGCAAATACCACACTGTATGCACGGCCCCTACTCCATAGTGTTGAAACTGAGATGAAATTTCGGAGGGGAGGGCCTTCCGGCTGTACATAAATGATTTTCTATTAGGAATTAAAGCAAATAACCGTGGCTTGGACAGTGGAACCTCACTGATAAGAGGTCCTTTAGACTTTGCAAATTAACATTTTGTAACAGGAACATTGTATTATCAGGAATAAAAACAATGAATAATGATAACAATAATTATAATACGGGATTTCTATAGCGCCATTCCATCTAGATCATGGCGCTAAGGGTAACAATGACCAATGATAAAATGACGTTTTTCGTTTGTTTGTTGGGGTGTTTGTTTGTTTTTTGTTTAGGATGAAGCAGTTTCCAGAGCAGGTATTGTATGGACAGGTACTGTATTCCACAATGTGGGACTGGAGATTGTAAAGGCTTTGTCAGTGACACTGTTTTTGATCTCGGTACTGACAGGTCGACCAGGAATATGTAGTGTGAAGCAATGATCCAAATATTTAGGAACTGTGTGGTAAACGAGCAGAGCTATCTAAATTGAATTCCCTGTCGGACAGGAAGCTGGTGAAGTCGGGCAAGCAGTAAAGACACCGGTTCGCGCCAGCCAGCAGCGGATAACGCGGGTAGTGCGATTCTGAAGTCGTTGGAGTCTTGTTAGATGTGTTTCAGCAACGCCAAAAATAACAGAGAATTGCAATAATCAAGCTGCAAGAGAACAAGGGCTCGGATGAAGTGATGACCGAAATCAAAATCAAGGTATCGGCGAATTCGTGACATGTTCCGAAGGTGGAAGTTAATAGACCGCAGCGTGTGTAGACATGGACATGTGGACATTTATGCTTCAGAACAAAGGATTGGGACCTAACCTTTCCTGACTATAAGCAGAATGTTGCAGTGTTCTCATTAAAGAGGTTTGTACGTTCGTCTGTATAGGTTGTGATTTCATGAACTTCCCTGGAGGTGGAGCACCGGCCCCATAAATACGCTACTAGGCCCCCATGTAGTACGCTTCAAATGTCCTGCTTAAAAAACTCAAGGCAAGACATTTCATGTATCTTTGGCATCCAGAAATGCTGGAAAGTTATCAGACTGTGAAAAATGTCAAAATATTACATACCTCGTTGGAAAAGTTTCGCTTAAACTCCAAACATTTTCAGAAAACATTGTCACCTATAGCCTTTCGATCCCGGAAAGGTGTCTGATTTACCACGCCCCTCATGAAAACATGCACGCTCACGTGCAAGCGTTCCCCACGATAGTGAATAAAGCGATCTTTTCCCATAATGTGACAATCTGTAATGTTTGCGATTGACGGCAGATATAGCGGTGAACTGATTCCACGTGAGAGCGATACCTTCAAATATTACAAAGGAAACGTCATAAAACATCTAATGATGAACTCTCCTCGAAGAAGTAGACACTCTCACCATACTGAACTTTTGTAGTCTTGTTTCCTTTTAGGTGCTTCATCAACTCGCGGCGCATCTTCTCTTGTCTCTGGAACATCTTGAACCTTTGTTTTCTCAGATGCAAAGAGGCTTTCTTCAGTCTGTTCACGGTGGTCTTGTATTCCTCATTGTCTTGTGTCAGCCTGACCACGCGTCGCTTCGCGTCTCGTAACCGTTGGTCCAGTCGGCGAGTGGCGTTCACCAGGACGGCCAGCGACGCTGCGTCGGCTCGAATCCTGGCCAGTAGTTGCCCCTCGTGGGAGCGAAGCGCAAAGCGCTCCGTGGAGGAGCTCCAGTAGCTGGCCAGCAGGAAGGAGATGGTGAGCAGCAAGACGAGCAACGTGGACGGGGACGAGGCGTCGCGGAGATGTCCTCGGAGTAAGGAGCCAGTCATCGCGTCCACTTGTCCGCATCTATGCCACAGTGTTGTGAAGGCACCTGTTTTCCAGCTACCCTGGATTATTCACCTCTGGATAAAACCATAGCCGTGCATATTCGCATGTGTCTACCTTTTTCCATATTTTTCTTTATAATGATGAAACCAACGAAAATCCGTCACACATTGTCTTCGCCGTTCTTAAGTGCACATTAAAGGTTACCACACTGGCAGTATGCATCAACACAAAATTTCTGGCATAGATAAGGCTCATTTGTATCCTTGGAGCCCATCACTCGACCATTCAGTTGATCACGCCAGCCTTCCAGCTCTGGGGAAGCCAGAGATGTTGCCACAATTGTTATGGAAAATACAAAAATTGCATTGGCTGAGTGACGCACAAAGAAACACTACCGTTAAGCAAATCCTTATCGACCCATCTGTACATGCCCGTTTATGATAAAGAGTGGAAACTGTTAAGGATGAACCGTCGCCTTAGTAACGAGGAAAAAGCTAAAAATAGCGGTATAACAGTACTACAGTGATGCATCGTGGACACATTGAATCCTTGTCATTATTAGAATGTGTGTCAAGCAATTACGGACGCCCCCGTCATACTTGTCATAACACTTGATCTATTTGTATACGCGGAATTAAATACCAACAGCCTTCATCGGCCATTATGCAAAATAGGAAAACCTGATAACCAAAAATGAAACAATAAAATTCTCGACATGGTCTCAAGCGACCGTCTGCAAATTTAACATTTTTTGTCTGTTTTATGATTGGAGCTGATCGAAACCGCCACTTGACGTGAATGTCACGAAAGTGGGAGACTCAGTATACATGTACTTGAGCTCCTCCCATTTACTGCAGCTCTGTGTTTCATCATCCGAGGAAAAGCACTAAGCGAGAACAAGCAAAACCCAACCAGAAAATATTGTGTAGTGTATATAAAAGAAGAGGGAAAGTGGATTGAAACTGATCTACATGTCGTGAGGCTTGTGGATGATTTTTTTGCTTTAGAATTATAGACTTTTTAAAAAATATTATGACGGTTTCTCTCATGTGTCGTAAATTTTCTACGCTTCAAAACGTGGCGAGCCTGGCGAGATGGATCTCGTTTTGGGTGTCAACTTTGCATGCCTTGGAAGATTTGCCGAACATGATTTTGAGGCAGGGCATTGAATGAACTGAAACTATCTTCTATCTATTCAACAGAGGAATTTTCTCTTAACGGTTCAGCATAAAACCTAGGTTGCCTCGGAATATACCACTCTCGGACTGAACTATATGTATATCTTTTTAGTGAATGGCAGCTCTGATAAAATATTAAACTATGGCGTTTTTATTTTGCTGGTTTTTTAACTGGTACATAAAGAATATACTGTATCACTCCCACGTCATTTTAATATGTATTTCACAATAGAGCCTTCAAGCTGACCCCTGAAGGCACTCTTCCAAATCCCTGAATCGGAAAAATAATGTGCAAACATTGGAATTTGCAATCATTTTGAGCTTCTTTACTTCTTATAAAAATCACCTGCGAAAAAAGGACTTTGTAAAAGATTTACTAGCTTATAAATTATTTTATAAGACTGAAAAATTTCCCGACCTGAAGGGGAAATATTATGCAAAATAATGACTTTATTTATGAGAAAAATTGACTTTTCACTTCCGAAAATATAAAAGACATGACAACCAATACAACACTCGTACACACGCAGACGAAAGTTTCACAATTTAGTTTAGCAGTCTATAAACAAAGTTTTAAAAAACCTGCGTTTATTCCCCGCCCCCAAATCTAAC